CTACAGCTCGTGGTATACTGAGACGCCGCAGCTGAAGCGGATCCTGACATCGATGTCGAGATCTACCCACCTGCGTGAGTGACAGCTGGCTCTGCCTATCTAGAGGCTGTACCCGCCCCCCTCCCCCATCCGTTTCGCCAGTCAGCGCTGGAGGATCAGAGCGGGGAGGGGGGAATCCAGCCCCTCCCCTGTCACGGCAGAGAGCCGTGACAGGATCGAGAGGCGAGCGAACGCCGGTATGTGTTCCCTCACTTCCCGATCTACTGAGCCGACCTGTGACAGTCTCATTGTCACAGGTCGGCTAGAACTATGAGGTGAGTGAAAAGCACTACCCTCATAGTTCTCCTTTAATACAGGCTTTGTATTCATTAATGCAAAGCCTGCCGTGATTGGCTCAGCGCGGTATACTGTATGTAGCCTAAGCTACCGTACATACAGTATTACCGCACATCCAGCGCGCTGACAGATTTTCGGGGGGGTGTTTTTAAGTCTAAAAACTCATCTTATACGCCGGCAAATACGGTAAGCAATATTGTGAACCCTGTTCATTTTATATCTCACATTTCTGGTAGGACCTATTGGCTTATACCACATCCCCATGTATATTTTGGAGGAATAAAAAAAAAAATGTAATATTTGTTCGAATTTAACCAGATTTATTATTCTACAGACAAAATACTTGTTGTTTCTACAAATTCTTTTAGACCTCATTGGCTACATCAAATCCTCATTTAGCTTTGAAGGAAAAATACTTTTTACATTTTTATTTTTTTCAGATTCCAATCAAAGTAATATTTTTACACAGCATGCAAAGTATGTCTACAGTTTCTTCAAGAACACACTGGATAAACCACATCCCCGTTTATCTTTGGAGTGTCCAAAAAATGTCAAGTTTATTTTTAGAGGCAGCACTGTAATAGACCAAAAAAATAGGAAACAAACACCATAAATTGGCCTACAGCAAACATGAAACATTTTACCACTGAGGGGCAGCTGTGGAAACATTTAGTGTTGTACACTGTTGGAGCCGAGGCACTTGAATACAATGTAAACAATGAAGGTTTGACCATGGAGAACACATGTGTGGAAGAAGAAGATGCTTCTGGAGTAGCAGAAGAGGTGGAAAGGGAGAAGTGAGGAGAAGAAGGATTGTGACTGGTATATTCCATGTGCTGCTCCCACTGAGCTTTGTGGTGAACAGCCATGTGTCTCCTCATGCGAGCGGTACCCAAATGACTGCTAGATTTACCATGCTTGCTATGCTGCAAGCAGAGGCTGAAACCCACTGAGATACTGTCTGCAGCACATGTGTGAATGAAGGTCCACACTGCAAAATTCGGACCTGGGGATACCAGTTTCCTGCACCCATGGAGCAATGCCATATGGTGGAATAGGATGGCTGGTTCCTTCACTGCCCCTCACTTTCCTCCTCTACATTCTCTGGCACCTCAGGTACGATCTGCCACCTCATCATCACCACCCTCCTCCTAACTTGAACCCAGATGAGAATAAGTTGAACCTGCGAGAAAAACAATAACAAGTTGTTGTCCCCTTCCCCAATGCTCCAGGCACTCTTTTCCTCAGCATGGCATAACATTACCGTATTTGCCGGCGTATAAGGCGACTGGGTGTATAAGACGACCCCCTAATTTTTCTGTTAAAACATAGGCTACACCCATACATCCACTAACCTCCATGGCGGTATTCCCGAGTGTGGCTCGGGGGTTAATTTTCAGTACCATAAGCGGTAACCCCCGAGCCCCCCTCGGGAATACA